ATATATATATATATTTTTTTTTTTTGCAGATTCATTTTCTACATAAACAGTCACATCATCTTCAAATAGAGACTATTTTATTTCTTTTTAAAATTTTACTTCTTTTATTTATTCTTCTGATCTTATTGCACAGGCTGAGCTTGCCATTATGAAATAGTAGAGGCCTGGTGCATGAAATTCATGCGCAGGTAGGGTCTCTAGGCTTGGTCAGTGATCAGGGCCTATCAGGACTGACTCATCCAGTCCCTATTGGGGCCAAGCCAGCCGAGGCCTGTTGGATGTTGGGAGGGATGAAAGGAGAGATCACAGGACATTTGCTGACAGGTGCGCAGGGACCAGGGGTGTTTGGCTGGCTGTGAATGGTTGGCTGTGGGAGCACACTGACCACCAGAAGGCAGTTCCTGCCTTGAGCATCTGTCTCCAATGGTCAGTGCGTGTCATAGTGACTGGTCGACTGGTCATTCCGGTTATTCCAGTAGTTCAGTTTTAAGGGTCACTTAGGCTTTTATATACATAGATGATAGCTGTGGTCAGAAAACAGCCTTCTCCTTGTCCAGTGTTAATGAGAAGACAGTTATCCTTTCATGATTATATATGGAGTTCTCTGTAAGTTTTATTGTAGATGTTTTTTAATCAATTTTTAAAAAGTTTCCATTTTTAGATTACTGAGAGTTTAATTTTATGCTATGAATGAATACAGAATTTCCTTAGATGCTCTTTCTATATCAATTGAGAAATTCATAGTTTTTATTTTTAATTCTGTTGATATGATAAGTTACATTACTATATTTTAGTCCTGAACTGGGCCTAAAATAAACCTCATAAATGGTTTGTGAATTATCTATAAGTTGCTATAAAATAAAAATTAGCCACAAGGGAAAAATCAATTTATGCGACTGTTACTGGATATGAAATCAACATGTTAATCTATGTATAATCATCTCTACGAGAGATAGAGAATACATTTATTCAAAAGGTATGAAATTCTTTAGGACTACACAAAATTTAATGACTGTAAAAAATACCAAAGCCTTGAAAAAAAAATCTTGTTGTTCTATTTTTAAATCATGGAAAAAAAAAAAAGTCTATAATTTCTATAGAATTAAATGTGACTATAATCAAATATGTCACAGGAGGGGAGGGGAGAAACACCAGATGGCTTTGTGAAGGTCATGGCACTCACTGTTCCAGGGTGTGCTGCTCACATACTAGGCATAAGAGCTCTTCCTGACTTCTGAGACATCTCTACCTCCTAGCATCTGTTTTCTGCTCTCCAGTGGTTATAATTTCTCCAGGGAATCCACAGGTAGCCATAAATGATATGGACATTGATAGATTAGATGGACAGAGATGATAGAGATAGATAGAGATAGAGATAGAGACAGAGATAGATAGAGATAGAGATAGAGATAGAGATAGAGATAGAGATAGAGATAGAGATAGAGATAAGGACAGAGATAAGATATACTACCCGTGTTTCCCCGAAAATAAGACATCCTTCGAAAATAAGACCTAGTGCAACTTTGGGAGAAAAAATTAATATAAGACACTGTCTTATTTTGGGGTAAACAGGGTAGTATAGATAATATAGATATAGATAGATATATTCTCCAGGGAATGCAATGCTTCCTTTATCCAATAAAAAATCATACAGATATGAAATTTGACATGGGAATATAATGATTATTGTGAATCATTAAAAATTTAATGAATCACAGATCTTTTCTTATTCTAAACATAATAATATTTAGCTTGCATATTCTTACTTTTCAATTAACATTCTCATATTTCAGGAACTCTTTCAATGAAAAACTATGTATATTGATTAGAGATGTTTCCTTCCATAGATCTGATACATATTTCTGAGAGGTATGTTCTTCCCTTTATCAGACTAATCACCATCATGCACAGTTGTTGGGTGTGTACATGAGTCAGCAATACCTTTGGGGAAGGTTTTTTCACATCTTCTGTCCATATGAACAGCACACCCTAAAGTAACATGGTGCCCAACCTTCACAACTGCACGTGGTACTCCACCTTCTCCATGGTATCATTTAGGAATGTTTTCCCCATGCATGTGATAGGTTATGAAACAAACACCAGATCAAGGAAGAGGGCATAATTTAAATTTAAAAATGATCACCTGTTAGACCTCAAGGCATTTATTCATTCGATAGTTTAACAATATCTGAGTCAATATATTCTTTTACTCTTAAATTAAATTCCCCAAATGGGTTAAATGCTCATAGAAAGGTTCTTCAAAATATAAGAAGCAGAAGGTAATGGAGAATAAATATTCCCCTCACAGACCTCCCTTGTTTTGAGGAAGAACATTTATCTCTTATAATGTCCCTGGAAGAATTCCTTCTACAAAAAATTAGCAATAGGCTTTTGTCTCTTTTGGAATTCTGCTTCTCCTTATCTTCATTTCTCAGACTCTGACCTGTCTTCACTTTGTTTCAGTTTTCTGTTTGAGCAAAAATCACTTATTTAAAAATAATTACATGATTAATTTAGATGTATGTGAATTAATTTATTTACTTATAATTGAATAATTATCTCTCTCTTGAATTCATTTCCTGTGCCAGCCATGGCTTATACGGTTTTGTTTTGTTTTTAAATCTTTCTGTTATTTCTCCTTTTCTGGTCCTATGTCTACCAAAGTGAAGTTTTATTCCCTGTTATCTCTGGGATGACATCAATGAAGAATAAAATTTATATTAAGAGACAACATAGGGACCTTGTTAAGAGCATAAAGATTTGAACATGAACTTGACTACCTGGTTTGAAATCTGGTTCTAAAACCTAATATCTTAGTGGACTTGGACAATTTACTTAGCTTCTGTGAATCACCTTTTTCTAATCTAAAAAATAAAATTTTAATAATACCTATCTCACAGAGTTGTTTGTGATAATCAAATGCATCAAGACATGTAGAATGCTCAAAAATATGAGATATTATTACTTGGTAGTAATAATGATTATATTCAAGATTCCTTTTAACTGCATTAACAATTTGATATTTATCTTCACATGACACTGAATCATGTACTTTTTTATATTGCAAGACTTTATTTTATTTTTAGAGAAGTTTTACATTCACAGAGAATTCTCATATATTCCATTCCATGATCTACCCATCCCATTACCAACAGTCCTTAACAAAGTAGTACATTTGTTAAAATCTACGAAACTACATTAGCACATCATTTCCATCTAAACTCCATAGTTTACATTGGGTTCGCTAGTGGTTGTTGTACATTCTGTTGGTCTGAACAAATATTTAATGACTTGAATTCACAATTATAATTTCATATACAGCATTTTCACTACTTTATGTATCCTCCAAGCTCCTCCTGTTCATCTTTCCCTACATCCTAATTTCTGGCAACCTTTTTAATGTCTCCTTTTCCTGAATGTCACATAACTGGAATCATGCAGTACAGTGTCTTTTCAGATTAGCTTTTTTTCATGTATTCATGCATTTAAGGTTTCATCACATCTTTTCATGGCTTGATAGCTCACTTCTTTCTAGTGCCAAATAAAATATACCATTACCTGGTTGTATAGTTTGTTTGTCCCTCCCCCTACTGAAAGACATTTTGGTTACTTTGTACATGCACTTTAAAAATGCTACTCCAAAAAAAATATTTTTTATTAAACGTTCATTGACTAAAACACCAAATTTTAATAGCATGATAGTGAACTCAGAAAATATTGCAGACAAATAGTTTTAATAAAATCCCAGAAGTATTAAGAAGACTAAAAGTAAACAAAAGGGATATACAATTAAGCACATGGGAAAATGTGGAAAATGACATGTAGAAACTATGTACAAAAGGCAAGATACTGCTGTCTGGTCATGTATCAGGCTTCACTTACCTTAGAAAGAGGACATCGTGCAAGCAACAGGAATCTTTTCCTTTGCTTCCCACAATGATGATAATCGATGCAGTTAAACAATAAAGTCAGTTAAAACATAAAACAGTGCATAGTCAATAATGATTAAAACTGGGAAAGAGCCTGAGAAAGGAAAGGCAGCACAATTAATTTATCATAGGACAGTCTTCTTGCCCAAGGATATAAAAGTAACTTTAAAAATGGAGATAAGGAACTATAATCTCAAAAGCAAGCAGCCAGTTATTAAGCAAGAACAACTAGTTGAGGGGAGGGAGGGAAAGAAAGACTGGCTGAGGGGGACAGTACAAACCTAGGAGCTACTCTGTGTGGCCTCGGAAATTTACTTCAATTTGAGTATCATCTGTTATCAACAAAGGGGACTAATAAAGACAAAATTAGGTGCTAATCAGAACCTCTGGACTGCCAAATTACCATATATGTTCAGTTAAGAGACTGAGATATGGAGAGAGGCAATGACGAGGACACAGTGGGATCCCAATGTTTGGAAGGGGGATTTAAGCAAAGCAATGTGGCCGAGCACTTCAAAACATCAGCTATCACATTCACAACCATTAGTAAGTACCACTCTAAACCATATCAGGGGAAAGTATTAAGGTTAAGTCCAAAGGAAAAGAAAGGGTACACACGCATACATACATTCACACTCACACACACAAGTACGTATGCTATGATTTTATTCTAATAAAGATGAAACACCAGAATCCTTGACAGCTTTTTTTCTATATTCACCTAACACATTCTCCTACACATATCCCCTGTTTCCCCAAAAAGAAGGCAGTGTCTTATATTAATTTTTTTCTCCCAAAGTTGCGCTAGGTCTTATTTTCAGAGGATGTCTTATTTTCGGGGAAACACGGTAGTTCAAGTATATAATCCATCTTTCCCCTCAAGAAAGGCAAACGTTTTTACTATCTTGTTCATTAATCTATTTACAAGACTTAGAAGTGCCTAGCATCAGTAAGACAGTCATTCATGTTAAACTCATCTGTGCTTCTTATTTCTTTAGGAGGAATCTATAGCAAAACTTAAAGTCCAGAACCTAGTTTATAGGAATTATATTATTCAATATATGTAAATCCTTAAGAAAAAGTATTACATAGTTTTTTCCACACCCTTTGTAGTGCACACTTTACATCTTTGTTCCGCAAGCTGTAGATCAAGGGATTCAACATGGGGATAATGAGGGTGTAAAATATGGAAGCCACTTTATCACTGTCAAAGGAATGACTGGACTCAGGTTGCACATACATAAATATCAAAGTCCCGTAGAACACTATGACCACTGTCAGGTGGGACCCACACGTAGAAAAAGCCTTGTGCCGACCCTCAGCAGAGTTCATCCTGAGAATGGATTTAAGAATGAGGAAGTAAGACACAAGAACTACCAGAAGAGATGCAATCAAATCAAAGCCAGCTAAACTCAGAATAATCATTTCAATTTCATGTGTATTTGAGCAGAGCAATGATAACAAGGGGAGACTGTCACAGTAGAAATGACGGACAACATTGTAGCCACAGAAAGGTAAGTTAAAAATCTTTATGGTGACTAGAAGAGAAACAAACGTACTGTAGAGATAGGGAATAGCCACCAGCAGCCGACATAGCCTTTGCGACATGATGACTGGGTAAAGCAGAGGGTTGCAGATGGCCACGTAGCGGTCGTAGGACATTGCGGATAGAATAAAAATCTCACTGACAATAAACACAAGAAAAAAGGCTAGTTGTATTGCACAAAAGTAATAGGAGATTGTGTTTTGATCCACGACAAAATTTACTAACATTTTGGGTCCCACAGTTGTTGAATAACCAAGGTCAGTGAAAGCCAGGTGTCTGAGAAAGAAGTACATGGGTGTTTGGAGCCTGGAGTCCACCTTGGTGAGAATGACCATGCCCAGGTTGCCCACCACGGAGATCACATAGATAATCAAGAAGAGTCCAAATAATAGAGCCTGCAGCTCAGGGCGGTCTGTGATCCCCGTGAGTATGAACTCATTTAACACTGTTAGGTTTTGTGTTTCCATGCACGTTTTTCGGGAAACCTATTCTGGAAAGAGACATCAGCATAGTCAAAAGATTTCACGTATTATACCTGGAAGATTTTTAGTATTCAAAGCTAGTATAAATAAGATGCATCTAGACTTTCCAGTTTATAATACATGAACCTGTCTTACACACACAAAAAAATAATATTTGCAAATAGAGCTAGAGACAAATAGTTGGTGGTTCTCAAGTGGATGTGAGTGATACAGAACAAAACAATCAATACAATGGACAGAAATTAGGTGCATAAATAAGAAAACTATAGTAGGTTGAATTAAGAATCGTCTTTACATGATAAAATATTATATATAATCTCAGTTATATTCTCACTTAAGTACAAAACTTTGGCCAGAACTGTAACATCCAAAACTCTTTATTATCATATACAAAACCAATATTTTGGATCATTTAATCTCCATCTATCTCTATCAACAACTCTATGAGGAAGCATTGGCATTGGTTTCATATAACAAGACAAAAAACTTTCTTTGGGTAAAGAAATACTATACTCTGCTGTAAGTTTAGAAGTGTGCACATCAAATATAATAAAGTCACCATGTTACACAGTATTAGAGAAGTAAAATAAAACACACTAAAGATGAGGTGTCCATGAATTCTTAGATATTACTTTAAATTCTTCTACAACTTAAACCCAAGGAATGCCTTCAAACTATGATAAAATACAAAACACAGATAAACATTTAATATGATCAAATAAAAATGTATACCAATGCCCCCAATAATACACAGATTAAGGATGTACCAGAGTAAATGAATGCCAGATTAAAGTAAAAGATTTATTAAATTTAAAATATTGTGTGTGAGTGATGCCTCTAAAAAGTAGAAATAATACTGGTTACAATAAAAGTTACAGTGACAGCAGTCTCTGAGGGGTATAAAAATAAAACCATAATTTCATAACATTACTATAAAATGACTACATTAAATGTGCATTTAAATAAGTTTGTGACCTCCTAATTGTCTACCTTGCTTTGATGAACATACCTTTCTCATATCAAAAATGTGGAAATGCGCATCAATAAATAGTAATTTTAGAAACATATCTTCAATAAATTTAATAAGAATCCGTATGAATCTTGTTTTTGTGTGTTTTGTTTTGCAAATATGAAAAGACTGAGAAAAATCATACTTGGTAAGTTTCAATTTTCAGTGTGGTAAGGAAAGATAAAAGTGTTTGTGTGTTTCTTCTAACAAGCCTCAGTGTTGAATGGTAAGAATCAAATTGCTTTTTCATGGTTTAACATTTTTTGTTAAATACTGATTTGAGTTTTTTTAAAAGCTAAACTCTTTCAAATAATTATATTTGCTTTCTGTTAGATTTCATTTGACATTAAAAAGCATGCTGAATATTTTGCTGTTATTATAAAACTGAGTACATAAAGTCTGCTAATATCCACATAATGCCTTTCACATCTCAATGAGAGATGGAAAAAATCCTACTTATAGATTTATTCAAGTAATTATTAAATATTAAATTATATTGAAAGTGTCACAAAAAGGACTAGAACTACTAGTTAGCTAAAAGTTTGAAAGGACATCAAAATGATAGATTTAAAAAATGATAGATTAAATATCTGTAGCTTCATAATTTTGCCAATTTTCAGAAATTCATATTTCTTTATTACTCTTCATTTATATTCAGTTTTGGCTGCATTACAGATATAATCATTCATGTAAAACAAATATGTTATAAGCAATAGCATGATGTATTTCAAAGATGCGTTTGAACATTTAGTCTACCAACTTAAGTGAAAATACTCAAAAACATTAATATGATGAGATAAGGAGAGAGGCCTACTCCTACTAGGCATTATGGAGTAGTAGAAAGCAAAAAGAACTAAGTCAGAAATGGAAACATTTTGCTAGAGCTTTGTCATTTAACTAACCTGACACTTGGCATATATCACTGAAACATTGTCAGTATTGGTAACAGGAGACACCACATGCAATGCTCTCTTTTTACCTGTCCTGAAGCCTCTTTCATGACTCCCTCATGTGTTTCTTACATGGCTCAGTGAGAACAATTTATGGATTTTTTTTCACCTTTTGAGACTGTCCCTAAGGAGATATCAAGAAATGTGTTGATTGTCCCTATAGTATTTTATAGCACAATTAAATGCCTCGAGGATGTCATTTAATTGCCATGACAATTTTTATTTATCATGTATTCCTCCCTCTCTCCCTCCCTCCCTCCTTCCCTCTCTCCCTCCTTCCCTTCCTCCCTTCCTCCCTTCCTCCCTTTCTCCCTTCCTCCCTTCCTCCCTTCCTCCCTTCCTCCCTTCCTCCCTTCCTCCCTTCCTCCCTTCCTCCCTTCCTCCCTTCCTCCCTTCCTTCCTTCCTTCCTTCCTTCCTTCCTTCCTTCCTTCCTTCCTTCCTTCCTTCTTTCCTTACTTCTGCCTTTCCCTCACTCATTCTTTCCTTCTTTTTATTTTTTATTCTTGGTTAACTTTTCTTTTGTAGCACATAGGACTCTTGATGCCCATCAGGAGTCTGCATTTACACAGTGGTCTCTTCAAATGAGTGACAGTGTATAAATATTTAAATACTGTTCTGCTATTTTAAAACTTTCAGGAAATTAAAATGATACATTGCTTTCTTGATTTGTTGCTCATGTTGTTACTGATCAAAAGTCCATGTGTCAGACACTTCATAAAGCCAAAACTCAAACATCAGAGTTTGGAGTAAGGAAAGTTAAAATTCAAGCTTCAAGCAGGATTCCTCTATGATTAGCAAGTCCATATGCAAGACAAAGCCGAACCTATTAGCCCAAAGGTCATGGGAACAAAGCAGGCTTGATTAAGATTAAATCAGAGAGACTGACCATTTCACTCTGGTACAGTGTAGTGTGTTTTTCTTTTCCTCAGGGACAGAAATTAGTTACTGTTACTTCTCATTGCCTTGTGAGTTTTCATCATCTGTCTGTTCAGCACTTCTCTTTTGCTTTTTTTTTTTTTTTTTTTTTTACAATCTATTGCTCCATGTTAGTTATTCTATTCTGTACAAATACACTACATACAGATCTATTCTATTATCATAAAGTTCCCTTAATAGTCACACCAGAGGCCTGGTGCATGAAATTTATGCACAGGGGGAGTTGTCCCTCAGTCCAGCCTTTACCCTCTCCAATCTAGGACACCTTGAGGGATATCTGACTGCCCGTTTAGGCCCAATCCCACCATTCGCAGGCTCGATCGATCTCCAAATAGGGGGCATACAGGAGGCAGCTAATCAATGATTCTCTCTCATCATTGATTTTTCTATGTCTTGCTCCCTCACCCTTCCTTTCTGAAATCAATAAAAAAATATATTAAAAATAATAATTTCTGAGTAATAAGAAATGTGATAGAAATCCAGAGTAATTTCATGTTCATCCCACTAGGATCGGACCTAAATGGGCAGTTGGATATCTCTCTCACAATCCAGGACTGCTGGCTCCCAACTGCTTGCCTGCCTGCCTTCCTGATTTCCCCTACTGCTTCTGCCTGCCAGCTTGATCACCCCCTAACCAGTACCTTGCCAGCCCGATTGATGCCTAACTGCTCCCCTCCCAGCCTGTTTACCCCTAACTGCCCTCCCCTGCAGGCCTGATCCCCGCCAACTGCCCTCTCCTGTAAGCCTGGTTCCCCCCCAACTTCCCTTCCCTGTAGAGGCCCAGTCCCCCACAACTTCCCTCCTCTGCCAGCCTGGTCACCCCTAACTGCCCTCTCCTGCAGGCTTGATTACCCCCAACTGCCCTCCCTTGCATGCCTGGTCCCTCCCAACTGCCGTCCCCTGCTGGCCATCTTGTGGTGGCCATCTTGTGGACACATGGGGCAGGATCTTTGACCACATGGGGACAACCAGCTTGTGTGTTGAAGTGATGGTCAATTTGCATATCACTCTTTTATTAGATAGGATAGAGGCCTGGTGCATGAATGGGAGCTTGCTGGTTTGCCATGAAAAATGTCCCTGATCAGGGTGGGGGTTCCTTTGGGGTGTGGGGTGGCCTGGGCGATGGGCCTGTGGTGGTTTGCAGACCGGCCACACCCCCTGGTGACCCAAGTGGAGGCTCCGATATCTGGGGTTTATTTGTCTTCCACAATTGAAACTTTGTAGCCTGGAGTAGAGCCAAAGCTTCTGCGTGCTCAGTGGCAGCAGCCATTTCTGTTGGGATTTATGTATCTTCTAGAATTGAAACTTTGTAGCCTTCAGTGGAGGTCTGGGCCAGCCAGAGTGTGGGGAAAGCTTGGCTTCCTCCATCACTGGGGAAACCCAAGCCTCTCTCCTGTTCTCTGTGGCCGCACCCATCTTGGTTGAGGTTAATTTGCATAATCACTTCTGATTGGCTGGTGGGTGTTGCTGGTGGGTTAGGGTTAGGGGTGAAGGCTCAATCCACAGTAGGAGATATGTAGGAGTCAAACAATAGATGATTCTTTCTCTTCATTGATGTTTCTATCACACTCTCTCCTTTCTTCTTTGAAATAAATAAAATATATATATTTTAAAAAACATTATAAATCTGATTCAATAAATGTGTTTTAAAAAGTGTGCTTTTTTTCTAGATTCCTGCTAGTAAATACCAATCTCCCTATATGTGAGAAAGATATCCTTCTCACTATTTTTAGACTTCTCTGTAAAACACTAACCATTTTTAACATTTACATTTATAATATATTATTTTATATGATTATTGAAGATAACCTGTTTTTGAACTTTTAAATATTTTTTCATGATTTTGCAATTGTGTAAAAAATGCAATGGGCAGAGCTTAGCATTGGACCTTTACTATATAACTACCCTAACTATAGAGCTCAGAGAAGTTTTGTTATTCCCTAGGCTACTTCCCTTTCTGTGTCAAATACAGCTTTCAGCTCTAAATTAAGTGACAAATAATGAGTTCTGCAATAAAAAGTCAATAAAATTTATGTTTAGATGCCTATATGTAAACACCTCTGCAATTGTGGAGTGGGAATAAAGGGAG